CCCGCTGCTGCCCCGCCTGCCCTCGCCACTTCCGCTGTGTGCGATCCCCCCCCACCCGCTGCCCCGCCTGCCCTCACCCCTCCCGCCGCATGTGATGGCCCGCCCGACAAGGCCACGTCTGCAGCCGTCCTCGAGCGTGGTGTCAGTGGTGTCCGTAAGTGAACCACTCCCTCTTGCGCGTCGGTTGGTGGAGTCATACGTGGGAGTGGCGCGCGATTTCCCCCGCCCTCTCTGGCTGCCGTCGCGGCGTCAACGTCAACGACGTCTTCCGGTGTTGGCCGCCCTCCTGCCCGTCGTCTTTCGCCAACGTCGTCTATGCAGATGCCGCCACTCCCCCGCCTCGATGACTTCTGCTGCAACGGTATGTTGTCAGAGTCTTCGAAATTCGTCCCCTCCTACGTCGCCACGTCCTCCGGCACCCACTCTTCATCCAGCACGTAACCTCCATGTGCCGGGGCGCCTTCGAGGATCTTCCTCTTCTTGCTGGCCATGTGGCAGCCCTTCTTCTCCCGGGTCGGCGGTTGTTGTGAGAGGTTGGCGGCGGCCTTGCCGCGTGCGGAAGCGCGTGAGGACATGGCGCAAGACGCACCCGCGGTGACGATGACAAKCTRGACGACGAAGGCGAGGATCTACRGAAAGGCGACGRYGGCGGTGAAGACGRCGGGCGAAAAGACKYGCTCGCCGAGGAGAATGTCGCCGAAGACGACTGCAAAGAAGACGCAAGCAGTGAAGATAACTACGTTGGCGACGGACGCGGCGACGATGGCGATGACGACGACAATGTTGAACAAAAAGGCTCGATCGCGACGATGGCGAAGAGGATGCAGGCTACGAAGGCGTCTCAAGTGGCGCAGACGACTGCGACCAAAAGCAGAACAAGTGCGGCGGGCAGCGGGGATTGCGTGAGGTAGAGAGAGAGAGAGTGTTGTCGTGCATTTGCGCAGAACGTCCGCGTCCTTATAAACACGTGTCACGTGGGGTGGACGGCAGCACAGACGCAGCGCAAAGGCCAGGCGAGGGTCATTTCCAAGCTCCACCAAAAGACAAGAAAAACGCAGGGTCATCGCGGCGGGCGAGACGAAAGGCGAAGAGTCGTGGGCAACGTGGCCGTGCATCCGTTGCGCCACCGCCCCTCGTCCCGGCTCCCCTCGTGGATTGTGGACACGGACGGACCCCACAGGCCGAAATTATGCCCCCACAAACGACTCCATCCCACTCTACCATCGTCCACACTCCATGCCAGCCATGAACGAGGACCGAACTCGCCTCCTACCCCTGCCCGCAGTCCCCCCCCCCAAACCCCCTACCCCGACCCCCCCCAACATGGCATGCATATTCGCCTGGACGGGTTCAATATTCCCCCTCCCGAACTCCGAAATAAAGCACCCCGCCCGACTATGTACGAGATAACGAAAACAGGTAAAYARACCAACACAAAACSYACAAMACAGCGTGCATTTCGCACAGCTGTCATGACTCGACATCCGSTATAGGGGGGGACGTTTGATCGAACCCAAGYACGCCTGTACTCAATCGACGACTAAGTGGGTGTATGCACAACATTAGCAAACGCATACCCAAAAAAGGACGGCAGCACAGACAACACCTTCATGGCACCATTGCATTTCATTTCAGGAGAATACACCGAAACACACGCTGGAGAGAAAGAGGGAGCCGATTTCGATTGGACACAAAAAACCCGAGAAACAACGGCATTAAAGACAGCACCTTTATTACACCTCTGCATTTCATTTACGGCAAAGACAAAAAGAAACGAGAGAGAGAGAGAGAACGAAATCGATGTCGTCATTTAAAAAAGGAAAGTGCATACTGCACTTCATCGATGCCAATTACAATTCAGAGTTGACGGTATCATCCGTCCCGTCACACGATCGACTCCAACAACAAACGAAATGAACAATGTAAAAAATAAAACAATTTTGACAAAAGAAAACAAATTTCACTGAAGGACTCATCCACCGAATCAGACCAGTACCCAATTCCTTGCCCAGCACCGCCATTGGGGGAACGACACGTCGACCACGACGGCGATGGCTAAGCTAAGCTACATCGACGACGGAAAGACTATTACTTTCGCTCCGTGAAATTCCATGCAAGCGAACAGAGAGCACACCAGAGGTGACACTAAGTCTAACGTTTGCCGATGGCCTTCGCTATCTCCAGCAAGGCGTGACACATAAGCTTGCTGACTTCGTCTGACGCTGCGTACTGTTTTTTCTGCACTTCGATCTCCGCTTTCAGCGCCTTGCACTGTCGTATGGCGATGGAGCAATGACGTTTGCTGTTGCTCTCCATCGTTGACGCCATTAATGCCCCGTGCTTCTCCATGCACTCCGTCATTGCCTCAAAAGTTTGCTTGCTCGTGCTCTTCCTCTTGCCGAAACCGCCTGCGCCACCCGTCGTCTGCAAAGAACGTTTCGTGGACCCGTCGTCGCCGTCGTCGTGCTCTGCACCACCGTCCCCGTCGCCCACAGATTTAGGATCCGCAGAGGAGGCGGATGGCAGACGCACACCACCCTGAGCGCCAGTGTCCGCGACGTTCTTCGGGTTTATGGTGTGGTTCTTGGCGGTCGACCCCAGTATCTCGTCGTAAACCGCACGATCCATATTGAAGTTGAAGCCCTTCGACATCCTGTCCTTCCCAGACAATTGGAAGAAGTCCTGTTTCCCGGACAGTCCTTGGAAATGATGAACCTTCTTGAACTGCTGCATCAGATTGTCCCACTTCTTCCAGCACCGATCAGCCTCTCTGTCGACGCCCACCTTCTTCAACCTCGTCGCCACATCCAGCCACTTCCATTCTCGCGGCTTCATCCGAGCGTACGCGTGGCCCATCCCCTGCAAATGCGCATCCTGATCACGTTTAGCCCGGATGAGGGTTATAATGTCGTCGACGGACCAGAAGTGACGACCTCCTTCACCATCGACGTCACCTGCGGCATCGCTGCCCCTGCCTGCCGTCCTTTTGCCTCGACGACCATTACCAGCATACGACTTCGTCTTCCCCCCCCTTCCCCCCATAGCGGCCGCTTGCTTCGATGGCGAAATGTAGCCTGCGTCGTCCTCCCCACCTTCAGCGCCGTTGTCGTTCCAGTCGGGGTCGTGCGCGTCCCCCACTGCTTCCTCGCCATTGTGCCCGTCTTCCCCAACACGCAATCGCTGTACCCCACGAGTTGTGGACTCCTCCCGCACCGACCTCATCAACTGTCGCTGTTCTGCCCACACCTCCCTTCCGTCACGTGCGTCACCAACATCAGCAACGGCAGGCGCCGTCTCCCTACACTCGCCAAGACGACGACCTGCACTCGAACCGGCGGACAGGGGAGACGAAGACTGCATCCACTGGGGGCGAGCGGAGGCACCCCCACACACAGACGGCGACCGAAATTGCTGCCTAGGAGGATCCTTGTTGTTCCCCGAAGCCTCCCGCAGCGGCGCTGGAGACCTGGGTGATCGCTGAACAGCCGTCACGTCGCCGCCATCGTCGTCGGGATGGGGGTTTATGACGACTATTCGAGAGACGACTGCCGACCTCCCGCTGCCGAGTCCAAACGACAGATTCACGCCGCCATCGCCATCAGTGTCGCTGAGCCCCTGCTGGAGGAGCTCGGTGTACGACTGCCCTTTACCGCCGTCGCGACTTCCAAACAGCTCTGTAGCCGCCCACTCCTGGGTGGATCCGCTTCCCAGCGGCACGGTCCGTGACCGTCTATCGTCCCCTTCCTCGTCGTCCGTGTCAGGCAGAGGTTGCAAGTGCGGTGGCAGGTGCGCATGCCCGGACCGCTCCGACGGCCTTTGACTATTCGACGGGCTGTGCCTGGACCACCGCCCACCTCGCTCCCCTGCGGACCCGTTGATCGCCTTTCGGCCCTCCGTTCTGTCGTTGTTCCTCACACACCTCCTTCATCGACCACGTCGCGGAAGGCGGCCGAGGATGCACACGTGGAAGACAACCAGGAGGAGGAGCAATAGGACGACCAGCAGCAGCAGCGGCAGCCTCCGAAACACGTCGGCCATGAAAAACACGTGGATGACAGTGGCAGCTAGCAGACAACAGGGGATTTAATACGTAACGGTGACGGACACTGCTGCAAACGCCTGACCGCAACAAACGACAAAAGCATGGTAACGCATTCCGTTTGTGAACACATTGCGCAATCGCCCTACCGGGGGACGGTTCAAATATTCGAGTCTTGCGACCGTTGGGCGCCTTCCTGCTCGGGGACAAGGGCGGCGACGCAAGAAAGTCGCTTTTCCACGTCGGGGAAGCGACCGGGCCGCAAAAGGGGACCGTTGGTGCACTCTTCCATGACGCCGACCGTTGCCGATCGAAGATGTCCGTCCACGGTCGCCAGGAACAACAGTGGTATAGACGGCCGTCGCAAAATATCGTCGAGAGAGCTGCCGCCGACGTCCCGATTCTTCCAGATGCTCGACCTCCGAGGGACCTCGGGAGGCCCCTTGGGGAACGCGTCGAAATGGTTGTGGCCCGAGGAATCCCCGAGGAATCCCCGAGGAAATGTTTTCACATTTTTTTTTCAATTTCTTCCCCGAGGATAAGTGGAATGATCATTTCCTCGGGGGATTTACGCGCCCGAGGAGTGTGGAACGAGCCCCATGGTCCCATTAGCAGTTGGATAGGAGTGTGGCCGATCCGGTGTCACACTGAGTGGCAGCGGCCTGACAGGTTCATTATGAATTTCTGGGCTGAGAAAACAGGAGAAAGGCAAAAAAAAAAAACAGAGACCTCCCACCGGAAATCACGGCAGAGTGCTTCCCAGCCATCAGATCACAAATGATCTGATGGTGGTGGTGGTTGCAACAACAGTGAACACAATAACTGCCACATTTTTTTCTGGAATAAACTCGACTTCTGTCAGCAGTGATCATGATGCCCTCCATATATATATATATATGACTA